ACTGTAATGGGGCTGACAAACAGTCAGACTATAATGGGGCTGACAAACCGTCCAACTGTAATGGGGCTGACAAACAGTCTGACTGTAATGGGGCTGACAAACAGTCCAACTGTGATGGGGCTGACAAACAGTCAGACTATAATGGGGCTGACAAACAGTCCAACTGTAATGGGGCTGACAAACAGTCCGACTATAATGGGGCTGACAAACAGTCTGACTGTAATGGGGCTGACAAACAGACGGACTGTAATGGGGCTGACAAACAGACGGACTGTGATGGGGCTGACAAACAGTCCAACTGTAATGGGGCTGACAAACAGTCAGACTATAATGGGGCTGAAAAACAGTCCAACTGTGATGGGGCTGACAAACAGTCAGACTATAATGGGGCTGACAAACAGTCCGACTGTAATGGGGCTGACAAACAGTCCAATTGTAATGGGGCTGACAAACAGTCAGACTATAATGGGGCTGACAAACAGTCCAACTGTGATGGGGCTGACACACAGTCAGACTATAATGGGGCTGACAAACAGTCTGACTGTAATGGGGCTGACAAACAGTCCAACTGTAATGGGCTGACAAACAGTCCAACTGTAATGGGGCTGACAAACAGTCTGACTGTAATGGGGCTGACAAACAGTCCAACTGTAATGGGGCTGACAAACAGTCCAACTGTGATGGGGCTGACAAACAGCACACAGTCTGAGAAAGGAAACATGGATGCTGTTTGATTCAAATTCTAATTCACATAGGATATCTCAAACGAACACGTCAAAAAACAGGTCTTTAAAAATCTAATTATTATCATTGAGGACGACGAACAGAAATCCCAACCCATGAAATATGGTCCCTAAAGTTTTCTCCGTGCTGCTGTGAGCAAGGTTAATTAAAAAGACCTAAACCCTAACAAACGGACCAATGGAAGTCAAGGTTGAACGATTGGCGTATACGCACCGGCTCTACACTACCGTCAGAATGCATTCTGCGCATGCGGCTTTCATAATGGTCATCGATGTAGCGGTCAATGTTCACACTGTTACATGCCTGTCGTTGACCACTCTTCATAACCTGGACATCAGGGTAGTCAATCTGGAAACAGAAAAAGATGGCACATCAGGTCAGGCACAACAAAAACAAGATAGCAGCATAGCTCAGTTGTTTGAAGGGTGTATTCAATAAACAGAGGAGAGCAATAAGGATAAGCTCTTAGCTTGTTTGCTAATCCTCTTTATTCTTTATGTTTTGAAATTTGTTAAACGTGCAAAAATTGGAAATAAAATAATGTTTAAAGAAAAAAAAAAAAGGTTATCAAGTCAAAAACAAGTCTAATATTTTTTCAGAAATTGACTTTTTTTCTGTTTTGACTTATCTGTATCATTACATTCCCCTCAGGACCANGGGGGGGGGTGGGGGTTAGTGTTATTGGCAGTCCATTGATCAACAACAGCCTTTACCAGACTAGTCTCTGTATCCATACCTAAATCATATAATCAAATGAAGAAGAAAAAAAATGTTATCATGGACACTTTGTCCATTTTCCAAAGCCCATCAAACTTGGAGGACTAATATGGTGCTCTCCTGTACCTCAGTGATATACAGCCGTGGGTATAACAGAACCTTAGGTGTCCTAGGTGCTGTGTTGTTGGTCTGGCTGAAATGTAGCCAATTCGTTCACAGGTTCATTCCTAACAGACGTGTGGCTGTATGTAATACACTGGTTTAATAGTCACAGTAAGTCGGTCCTACTTACCGTTTATATATCGTATCACCATCAAGTATAACAAACACAAGGCCTAGCTGTTACCAACCGTAGTTCTATCATTACCCAAACATACATGAGAATGTACAGACTAAATAAGCATTTTATTTTTCTCATCGTAATATCACCAACATTTAAAAAAAAACAAAAAAAAAACATGCAAAATGTGCATATCTACAAAAGCTGTATTAATGAAATCTTCAAATTCTAAAAAACACTTTCACATCTCGCATTGGTGGGTTTTTTTTGCACAAAATAACACAAACATGAAACGATCATGGTAGTTGGTGCGTAACCAAAGACTTTGTATGTAGTTGAAAACATAAACCCGAGATATTTTCTTCTTTTGGCCAAATTAAGTTCCAATTTTCCACTATAAACAATTCAGAAAATTATTCTCCCACAAAGCATTTCAATGAAGTAATTTAAATTGCCTATTTAAAGCGTATTTCTTGTTTTTACATAACTAGTCATCGACCATGAACAACTGCACTCTATGCATTGGTCCATCAGAACCTATTTTACTGTACTTATTAACACTGTTTGTCCCCCCTGAACCTATTGTGACTTCCGCTCTAAAACTGGCACTGTCCTGGAAGTTTCACACTAGCCCTTAGGCACTGTAATGACTTATTAACGAGACCCCAGACCGGGGTCTGCGATGCTTCCTTTCAGCCTGATACTGAGCTCAAATGGCATGTGAAATTTGAAAATATTTACATTTATTTTTTATTTTTTTCACTTTCCAGGGGTGTTGATTTCAGTTTTTGCCAAATTTCTAGCTATAACTGGAGCTATATTTTCATACTAAAACCTGAACATTTTCCACAAGCCCTGACAAATTGTTAAACCCCTAAATGTACAATCAGCAATAAGCTGTTTATCTCTAAAACTGGTATCATTTAATCAAACCTTCATTAACAAGACCTACCGTCTTTAAAGACTTTCAGAATTATGTTAAACAATTACCCAATTATTCCTACTTTTTGTGCTCATTCTAAAAACTTTTTGCCAATTGCTTCACATGCAATTAACCCTTTCACCCCTATGTAACGTTAATAGACCCTACCATGCATTGATATGGATGAGTCCATTATGGTCTACAGTGGTGAAAGAGTTAATAGGTAGATTGATTTCTTCAGTTCTCAATTCTGTCTGTGACATAGTTACGGTCAAATCTTTTTTTCATGCAGAATGTGAACATTTTGGGCCTAAAATTGGCCTAAAATTTTGCTTATAATGCCAGAAATAAATGTGAAATTTCAGCAGACATTGTAACATATAGGTAACCGTTGATAGTGGAAGCATTCTGGGTAATGTTGTGCTTTATAAAGAACCATTATTATTAGTTCAGTAAGCTTGCTGCTTACAAGCCTAAGGCCAACCTCATCCTTGCATCACTCTGTTCAAAATAAGCAAATACCAAATTGATTTTTCCTCTTTTCATTCCCCCTATTTCATGAATTTTAAATTAGACTTGGAATAATTTGTCGAAATCTTTCAGTCGATTCTGTAACGAAATGAAATCTATTGAATTTCAAATCAACGCAAGAAAACTGGTGCCGCTGATATCGGTTATTGAATCCTTTCCTGCGTGTGCATGTTTCACAACCAAATTGCTACCAACACAACAAAATTGTGAGAAAATCACAAAACGTGACTGAGGAGATCAGACTGCACAGAGCATGCAGGTCCTCGATACTAAATACTTATTACGACCAATGACGCAAACAGACTTTAAAAAACCTGCAGGAACTATTTCAAAGACACATTGGTTATATATCACCAAATTTCTTATCGGTGAGAAAAATTTATTTGATTTTCCTGGGCAGTATATGCCATGTGTGTAAGCTGCCTCCCAGTGCAGTGTGTTTATAGTATATATTGAAACTATCCCATTTCTGTGCGTTATATCATACACACCACTGAGTGGGTCAAAAAGTCATGTGATTCCAGTGTAATTTGTTACCTATCAGAAATGTACACACGGCTAATGAAAACCATATTGCTGCTGAACAGGAAATAAATTCACGCTGAGAGTCCAAATGAGATTAAATCTTTCTTTTACTTGTTTTGCAGCTTTTTAATTTATTTTGTGAACATACATAGAATTCTTTTATTTCCATTATGAAATTACATATCGAATGAACATTTTTTAACAATAATCAAATCTTTGATATCATAGGCGAAAGGAAGTCTGTAATTAAATAAAGCATGAAATTTCTCACAATGTAAGATAATGTGTTATTTTGTTATTCTGATAAACACTGGCTATCTCATTGAAGGACCAGGCCTAAAACTGGTATTTATAAATTACCATTCATGCCTTAAAAAGAGTTACCCCCCTCCCCATTCCTTCATTTCAATTACAATCATAAATTTACATAAACTTGTTCATGTCAGAATTGCTTTATTTAGTTTAATAGCTGGCAAACCATTGTCTTGGTTGTGGGGAAATAATATCTTCAGGTATGAATTAGCACAAAGATTACACTTGAGAATTATGAGTGTATTGCACATCAGTTATAATCGACCATTCCTCGGTAGATTTCCACTATCCCCTTCTGTATGTGATATTCTTTAAGCTTGAAGTTGAACTCTTGCATTTATAAAGACACTGTTTGATTGACTCATACAGTACTCTTGGGAACAGACAGCTAGTTTTGTCGATGCCATAGGCCATATGATATATGCCATACACCAACACCATATGTCATATGCCATACGTCATATATGCCATACATCATACACCATATGCCATATGCTAAACACCATACGCCATACGCCATACACCATACGTCATACGCCATACACCATACGCCAGGGTTATCGTTAGGTAATGAAGCAGTTAACTTCAGCTTTGCGTGTCAATGTCATGTGACACAGGGTCAATGTCATACGGTATAACTATCAAAACAGCGTCATAATTACAACCCTTACTTGGCCTCAGTCATATTAGGAGAATTATGACAAAACTATACGCAATGTTGAAACTTTGACTTCAAATTCACGGAATTTCGACCTGTATGTTCCCAGGGGTAGACTGAAGTCTTATCACATTTACAAGTCATAAAACATCAGCTGGTTCACCCTCCCCTAACATAACCCTCTTACATACTTATCAGGAGAAACAGAAATTCCGTCAAAAGTGTTATCAGAATCCATTAGTGTTATGTATAGCACACTCAACCCTTCACATAGCCAGCATTAGAAAGTTATATTTAAAAAATCTCAGTGCAGTGGTATACTTAAGCTTGACTAATATAAGTAAAGTTTGAATTTATAAACATAGGGTGATAGACAGGCAGATACAATATCAGGAGATTTTCTGTTTCTAAATAGATCACAATATTTTTAATGGACTGGATGAAGAATTTTTTTTGGCTCCTGAAAAGAGTGGAATGACACAAAACTAATATTGTCCCAAAATCAGAAAATCCTAAATAGATCATAACCGAAACAATTCTAAAATTCAGAAATCCACAAAAACACCATGGGAGACGGAAAATTTTGATATATAACATAGAGAAATATTCTTGGAAAACACTCATTCGCTGGAAATGGACATATTTATTCCTGCACCATTTAAAGCCTCAATAAAGAGTACAAAGTACATTCACACTTAAGCAGCCTACAATGGTTATAACACTCAGGCTCTCTATAAAGCCAGTTCTAAGAAAGAGGTCACACAAGTTACCAGAAGCCAGACTGTCCAGTCAGAAGTTATTTTTGTCTCAACTATATTTGCTTAGAAAGCTCAGTTATGTCCAAGGGTTCCGGGGAAAAAAGTTAAACCTGCATCTGTGTATCAAGTTTTATGACGTTTGTCATGAACCTTACAACAACTTGAAATTTGAAAATAAATTCCAATAAAACATTCAGCTGATTCAAACTGGAGTACTCCAGTATTCTTACTTCCGTCTATATTCCTAGGTATCTCTGATTAACATTTATACCAGACACTCTATTCATCTTATACTTATTCTAAAGTTTATTTTACCGAAAATTGTCCGTACATGTAATTCCATTTACTGAGGTAATAATATGCAAAAGAATTGTAAAAGTGATATATATGGTTTAGCCTTGACCTTGGTAAGAGGAAGGTACCGTTGAAAGTTCTGTTGCAACAGGAACGAGGTAATTAAAACGAACCATTTACTGTGCTTGGTACAGACTCACCAACACACAGAAACACAGGGTAAAACATGCACTGCTCAAAACACTCACTGACGAAGCTCTGCGCACACAGATCCGAACATCTTTAAATGAATCCATGTCTATATATCTCTGCGAGTATCTTCTGAATTCAATCGTATCACAAGGATGGAAA